TAGATGAGCCCTTCTCCATCTTTCTGGAGAGAGTTTGGGCCCTTTTATACATGGATATTCTGTGCCTTGTCCACATTCCTGGGAGAACAGGGCAATGCAAGGTGTGAATGACAGACAGCCCGTGTCTGTGGCTAGGGCAGAAGGTGACCAACCACTGGAGGTGACAACTAGAGGATGAGCAGGGCCTGGCTCCCAGCATCCCTGAATCCCACCCTGGGACCGCCACGTGCTCTTCTGTTCTTCTAGACCAAAGTCCCTTTTCCCATTGGCTGCAGACAGGTGGGCCCCTGGATCTAAAGCTTCCTCACGGGAAGGGAATTTGGGGTCCTGGCTCCTGTTACTGCTCCCTGGGTTTCTGGAGTCTTACCAGAACCTTATTGGGCTCAGATCCCAGGAAAGCAAGGCTGGATGGAACTACAGAGACCCTGTCCAAAGTTGGAGCTGGAAGAGGGAGGGCTCCAGGGTGATGACTGGTCCTCGCCCCTAGGGCTCACCCCAGAGACCAGGCTAACCCTGCTCATTTGAGTTCGAGAGCTGCTCACAGGACATCTACTACATTAGCTAGACACTGGGGACCACCCAGGTCTGTCCCTCCAGAATCAACCAGTCCAGGAACTAGGGTAGAGGTGACAATAAAGTATCTGAATAATCATTTAATAGCATGATACATGTTACGTGGCCGTCATGTGATAAGTGTTCCTTTCATCCCCAGCTTAGAAATGAGGATACTGAGGCTCAGAGAGAGGAAGTAACTTATCCAAGACACCAGGATGGGAACCCAAGTCGACAACCAGCTTAGAAAGAAGTGTGAAAGGCCGTGCAGTAATAAAAGCAGTGGTAGCTAAGAGTTGCTGGGCCAAACTGTACATGTAGAAATTGAATTGGTGTGCACTCTGCTGTGTATATTCTCAACAACAAAGTAAATTAGAAAATGAAAATAAGGGCTCCTGTGCCACACATGACCTAAGGGCCTTAGCAATTCATTAATTCTGTTTACAGCCAGCGCTGCGAGGAAGCTGCTACTTTGTGCCATCTTGTTGTTGTTGTTGTTGTGATGTGCCGCCGAGTCGACCCGACTCATAGCGACCCCTCCTTGGGTTTCCGAGGCAGTATCACTACGGAAGTAGATTGCCCCATCTTCCTTCTGAGGAGTGGCCAGTGGGTTTGAACCTCCAGCCTTCTGGTTAGCAGTCAAGTGCCTTAGCCACTATGTGCCATCTTAGAGATGAGGAAATTGAGGCACAGAGTTTACTTCACGTTCTCAAGTTCCCCAGCCAGGAAGCGTGGCCTTTACTCTAACGGCTTCAGAGGTTCTGGAAAAGGAAAATTTTATGCTACTAGGAGCGTTGGGCGGGTGGGGAACGCCCCTAACCCGCATTACCGAATAGGCTGTTTGGAACATGCGCACTCGGGTGGAAACCTGTTAAGTGCTGACCTTCCCAGCCCAATCCTGAAAAGCAGGTGGCCCCCAGGGTCCAGTGGGGCCTCTGCCCTCCCTTGTCTTCTTTCCAAGGTGACCTCAGGCTGAGGGGAGGGAGAGCGCACATAGTCAGGTACAAAGGGGGTGCCAGCCTAAGAATAACAGGCCTGGAGGACTGTACAATAGCTGGGTGCATAATTCATGCGTCTGTAGGCAGAACATCAATTATGTGAGCCCTCCCCGGAGTTGTCTAGGGGGTAGAAACTGGAGCAGGCTTCCCCTGCCAGCCTCAGGGGGAAACAGGACCTCCTAACTCTTAAAGGAACAGGCTTGCCTTGAATCTGCTCACGTTCTTGGAGCGCCCTCGAGGCGGGGCTGGGAGTCAGAGCTTGAGCGGTGCCGCCTCTCTGGCTGCCCCTGTGCGTTCAAACTGACCCTAGGTCTAGCCCTGCATTGGTAACTGCACACACACATTTTCCCCTACCCAACAACTTAAGAAACTCACCGTCGGCATATGCCAGGGGTTCTCAACACTGACACTACTGACGTTTTATGCCAAGTAATTCTCTGTGGTGGGGGCTGCCCTCTGCATTGGAGCAGCATCCGAGCTCTCGACCCACCCAGTAGCATCCCTGAGTTATGACAATGAAAAATGTCTCCAGACGTTGATTGTCCAGTGTTCCCAATTGAAGACTGGCATGTCCCCACTTTATAAATAAGGAAACTGAGGCCGGAAGTTTAAATGCCCAAGACTATCCAAGGCCAGTACAAGGCAGAGCTGGGATTACAACCTCAGGAGTCCAACTCTAGGGTCCACATTCCCAACCATGGTGCAGGAGTTTCCAAAGTGAGTCACCCAAAATGTTTTATTCCAACAACTATGTAAGTATGAATAGGTAATCCATATGTCCCTAGTATGCAAAATCCACAGTTTTGCGAATATTATCTATTAGGATAAGACTAAAATTTTAAAAGGTGAGTTTTTTCAGGTTTTGTTTTTTTAAAAAATTAAGGCAAGTAGTATAAGTAGTAGAATAAATAGAGTATGTTGTCCAAATGAAGCAATGATTTGCTTAGAGGTGCATGCATTCATATTAAAAACTGCAGAACACTCATGGCTAATGTGATCGTAATGTAATCAGTGTTGCTAAATTGTATACCTGAAAAACTTTAAAAAGAATATGGAAAAGCAAAAGAGAGAGAGAGAAGTCTGCACAGTGGTTGTCTCGGGCGGGGCAGGACACACAGGAAAGCTTCGTGTTATTGCTGCAAGTTCTGCTTCTTAAGCTGGGTGGTGGATTCACAGGTGCTTATTTGCTTATGTTGCGTAAATGATAACATAACTTAGTTATGCTTTTGTTGGCATCAATAATCCATTTCATAAAGTGCTTACAGAATTTTTCTCTTCCAATGAGTGTAAATCAAGAAAGTAAAACTGAAAAGCTATTTAAAAAAAAAAAAAATCAGGACCTATCAGATGCGAGTAAGTAAAACAAAACAAAAGGTTGACAGAAGGACAACTGAGTTGGGGCAGTGCTCACATTATGCCTTGTCCCCTTCCCGAGCTGGCCTCCAGGCCCCTAAGTGTTTCTCATGGCACCCGCCATGCCTAGCAAAGTGCCTCACACATCTTAGACGATCAGTTAGTATTTGTCAAATCGAAAAGGGAATGAGGGTCCTAGCCCTTGCACTCGTAGCTTTGTGAACTTCAGCAACAGCCTACAAACACTTCGGAAGCACTTGCTGGGCATCGTGTCCTGAGCGGGGTGCTGGGGGTGCAGAGGGAAATCAGAACTGATCCCTGTCCCCCAAAAGCTCTGGGCAGAGATGAGCACAGTTCCAAAAGCAAACAATCAAAATCCAGCCAGTAATGGGACGTGCATGATGAAAGAGCCGGGAGGGTGGAGTGACCACTATGCTGGGGAAAGCAGGGAAGACTTCCTAGGGGATGGGCCACGTGGGCAGGGTTTTGAAAGACAGATGGGAGCTCACCAGATGGAAAGCAGGAGGCACAGAGAAAGGGAAATGCCTGATGTGGTTGGGAATTGACCAACACTTGCATTCACCTGGAGAAACTTGAACTTCAACAACTGATGGCAGGAGGGGCCAGAGAGAGAGGTCAGAGTCAAAACGCAGAGGGATTTGATAACCATGTATTCTGATTGGGAATCCACTGCAGGGGACAGAAACCTCTCCTCCTCCCCCAAGCAGCAGTGGGGTTTATTTAAAGGCTACAACAGCAGGCAGTTTCAGAATGAGAGCAGAAAACAAAGACAAGCTGGGTCATGCAGAGGCTGAGTGGTCTGGTCTGGCTGACTGGGTGGTCTGAGCTGAGATATCCACACACCCACAACAGTTGCCATGAAGTCAACTCTGCTTCTGGCGCCCCCCTGTGGATCAGAGTAGAGCTGTGTTCTATACAGTTTTCCAGGGCCAGTTTTTTGGAAGTAGATAGCCAGGACTTTCTTCCAGGGCACCTCAGGACTAGTGTATTAACTGTTTGCACCACTCAGGGCCTCAGAGACATGTTTAGGGGTTTAGATTTTGTCCTAAGTAGTCCTGGAAAGTTACTCAACTCACAGGGTATTGTTATGATTTGATTTTTCATTTTGAAACATCTGCTTACATTTGGCATAGTCTGCACACTGGCTTAGCTTCCATTAATTTCAACAAACATTCACTGAGCCCTTTCTCTGGGCCAAAACCTCTTGTTGATCCAGGAGATTCAAAGGTAGATAAATAGTGATCCTTAGCCTCAAAAAGTTCATAGTCCCAGTCAAGAGTTAATAACGTGAATCTAGGATGTTTATGTCTCTCTAGAAAGTACCTGAAAAATCTTGACCACATTTTCTAGCAAGAGGGTCCTTAGCAGCCATCTGGTTTCTAACACAGCCTTTGAGAATGTGTACTTTGCAGTCAGACAATCCTGAGTTCAAATCCTGGCACTGCCTCTTACCATCTGTGGAAGCCTAGGTTTCCTCATCTGTTAAATGACATAATAATCCTTAATGAGGTTGTTCAGTAAAGTCATGTATGGGAAGTGCTAAGCACAGAGCCTGGCACAAATGAACAATCGATAAATGGTAACTATTGTTATTATTATTAATAACATCATAGTCAAAGCAGACCTCACCCCAAAATAGTTAGAACTACTAGTCAAGGTCAGGAGTCAGCCGAACAACTATGGCTGAAGACCAGCCCACTGCCGGTTTTTGTAAGTAAAGCTTTATTGGAGCACAACTACACCCATTTGTTTATGTCTTATCTGAGGTTGCATTCACACTACACTGCGGAGTTCAGTAGCTACAACAGAACTTCCATGGCCATTTACAAAAAAAGCTTGCTGTCCCCGAGTCTAGACGATCAGCTTTAAATCATTTCAATTCTCTGGGCTTCTGCTTCCACACCTGCACCATAAATGGATTTGAATAAATTATGTTTTTCGTGCATTCAGTCAGCAACTGACTAGTGAGATAGGAAAATCCTCCAGAAAGTTGAGGGTTGTCATGCAGACCCAGAGTATAATAATGGTCATCCCCTTGGTGATTAATAACTAAATTCCATTCTTTTCTCCTCACAGATCCTGGCCATAATTTCCATCATGTTCATCGTCCTCTCCACCATTGCCCTGTCACTCAACACACTCCCCGAGCTGCAGAGCCTTGATGAGTTTGGCCAGACCACAGACAACCCCCAGCTGGCCCACGTGGAGGCTGTATGCATCGCATGGTTCACCATGGAGTACCTGCTGCGGTTCCTTTCCTCACCCAAGAAGTGGAAGTTCTTTAAGGGCCCACTCAATGCCATTGACTTGTTGGCCATCCTGCCATACTATGTCACCATCTTCCTCACCGAGTCCAACAAGAGCGTGCTGCAGTTCCAGAATGTCCGCCGCGTGGTCCAGATCTTCCGTATCATGCGTATCCTCCGCATCCTCAAGCTCGCACGCCACTCCACTGGTCTGCAGTCCTTGGGTTTCACCCTGCGAAGGAGCTACAATGAGCTGGGTCTTCTCATCCTCTTCCTCGCCATGGGCATCATGATCTTCTCCAGCCTCGTTTTTTTTGCTGAGAAAGACGAGGATGACACCAAATTCAAAAGCATTCCGGCCTCTTTCTGGTGGGCCACCATCACCATGACAACTGTTGGTTATGGAGACATCTACCCCAAGACCCTCCTGGGGAAAATTGTAGGGGGGCTCTGTTGCATTGCAGGGGTGCTGGTGATTGCTCTACCCATTCCCATCATTGTCAACAACTTCTCTGAGTTCTACAAAGAGCAAAAGAGGCAGGAGAAAGCAATCAAGCGGAGAGAGGCTTTGGAGAGAGCTAAGAGGAATGGCAGCATTGTATCCATGAACATGAAGGATGCTTTTGCCCGGAGCATTGAGATGATGGACATTGTGGTTGAGAAAAATGGAGAGAATATGGGTAAGAAGGACAAGGTGCAAGATAACCACTTGTCTCCCAACAAATGGAAATGGACAAAGAGGACACTGTCTGAAACCAGCTCAAGTAAGTCATTTGAAACCAAGGAGCAAGGATCCCCTGAAAAAGCCAGGTCATCTTCTAGTCCCCAGCATCTCAATGTCCAGCAGTTGGAAGACATGTACAATAAGATGGCCAAAACTCAATCTCAACCCATCCTCAATACCAAGGAGTCAGCAACACAGAGCAAACCAAATGAAGAACTTGAAATGGAGAGTATCCCCAGTCCCGTAGCCCCTCTGCCCACACGTACAGAAGGGGTCATCGACATGCGAAGCATGTCAAGCATTGATAGCTTCATCAGCTGTGCCACGGACTTCCCTGAAGCCACCAGGTTCTCCCACAGCCCTTTGGCATCACTCCCCAGCAAGACTGGGGGCACCATGGCACCAGAGATGGGCTGGCGGGGAGCTCTGGGTGCCAGTGGAGGTAGGTTGGTGGAGGCCAACCCTACCCTAGATGCCAGCCATCACTCTGGTTTCTTCATCGAGAGCCCCAAGAGTTCCATGAAGACCAACAACCCCTTGAAGCTCCGGGCACTTAAAGTCAACTTCATGGAGGGTGATCCCAGCCCACTGCTCCCTGTTCTGGGGATGTACCATGACCCTCTTAGGAACCGGGGGGGAGCTGCAGCTGCTGTCGCTGGACTGGAGTGTGCCACGCTCTTGGACAGGCCTATGCTGAGCCCAGAGTCCTCCATATACACGACAGCGAGTACTAGGACACCACCCCGGTCCCCCGAGAAACACACAGCAATATCATTCAACTTTGAGGCAGGTATCCACCAGTACATTGATGCGGACACAGACGATGAAGGGCAGCTGCTCTACAGTGTGGATTCCAGCCCCCCCAAAAGCCTCCATGGGAGCACCAGTCCCAAGTTCAGTGTTGGGACAAGATCAGAGAAGAACCACTTTGAAAGCTCCCCCTTACTCACCTCCCCTAAGTTCTTAAGGCAGAACTGTATTTACTCCACAGAAGCATTGACTGGAAAAGGCCCCAGTGGTCAGGAGAAGTGCAAACTCGAGAACCACATCTCCCCCGATGTCCGTGTGTTGCCGGGAGGAGGGGCCCAGGGAAGCACACGGGATCAGAGCATCTGAACTAGCCCACCATGGAGGAGAGACTTATGGGTGAAATCCAAAGAGGAATGCTGTTCAGCTGACCTGCCACAGAGCTTTTCGCATGAACTCTCAAACAGAAAGGCGCTGCAAAGCCCCAGAGAAAAGGGTAATCTGGAGAAGGTTCCCTAAGACCTTGAGAACCATGACAGGTTCATCAAGATGAGGTTGGCCTAGCCATAGGATATGGCACCTCCTTATAACAATTCTACTGCCCTCTTTGGGAGATGACAAGAGCAGAACTCAATGCCACCACTTACCACCATCCTAAACACAACCAAGGCCACCTACACTCTATCCTTCTTCATGACTCTCCATCATGGCCTATGAGGGCAACATCTCCATCCCTCCAGGTTCAGCTGAAGAAGGATGTTGGAAAAAGTGGCTGGAGTTGAATGAATGTGTTGACCAATTTGGTGTTGGATGCTGCCCAGCCACCTCTATGAACACCTGTCATCACCTCCTGGATAGATTCCACTGTCAGAAGGCTACAGGGAACGCTGGTATCATGGGGAAATCTCTGCGCCATAAGCCACGATCCCAGCACAAAACCGTTACTCAAATGTCTTCATTGACTTCCGTATTCTGTAGTACCTAAGATTTTTATTTTGAGATAACATCAGGGTGAGTTGCACCACTTGTACTCAATTCTAATTGCCCCTTGGCAATCTGGGAAGGTTCGGAAGGCTGGCATTCAGCCAACAGTGTGAACTCTGAACATTGCTTGAGAGTTGAAGGAGGAAAATACTTCCTGTACATCATTAGTATAGACTCAAAAGATATGCAAGTGTCAAATATGCAAACGAAATAGCTTATTCAAAGAGACTGTCTGTTACTGAAGAACAGCATAAGAATCTGATTTTTTTTTTAAGTTGCAAAGATGAGAGGAAAAAAAAATCCCCATTCTAAATGCCCAGTTCAGACTTTTGAATCCTTCCTCCTGCCACAGGGAAAACACCTACTATAACCGAAATTCTTTTTTTTATTTCCTGTGGTATTCAAGCTGAAAAAAAAAAAAAAGGTAAAATAAAAAGCACTTTATGTTTTTCAAAAATAGGTTCTACCAGGGACAGTGTCAACATCTTGCACTTTAAAACAAGCACTGTTTTTCCCGTGGGCCACTTGTTGGGTGTTGCGACATGCCTATTCCCGGCCACGGTGGGTGACATTGTGCTGTGGTATTGCTGTCTGCCATGTTGAAGTCTGTGGTCTCCTACCCTGCCCCTCGGAAGCTCCCCCTTAGACCATGGGTCAGGAAGGGTTCTTGGCCCTTGGATGGGGCCTCTCATAAAGTCACATGCACAGAAGACATGCATATCTCAGAAGAACGCAGGAGGTGGTTGGGTATTGGGTGTCTCACTTTGTTCTCTTTCTTGTCAACCAGCCACTGATATGTTTCAGTGTCACTGTCTGTACAAAAAGCTAAGCTCTCCTTTCTGCAGCCATCAATGCAGCCAGTACAGACAAAAGCAATAAGTATTTGTGTGCATCATGAGCGATTCTGGCATATTTCTCGGTGTTGGTCTTCCTGTCCTAGTATGATGACCTGGCACTGGCCTGCCTGATTCTAGTCCAATGAAACAGTATCGGTGGCCATTCCTCAGAACAGTGATACTGTGTTGAGCCACTGGTTAGTACAAAACCATGGTGTTGGCTTCTCTTGTCAGTAAAGATGACGTGTTATTGGTCTGCCTGTCTTTAGTATGATGGAGTGATGTTGTTCTCTTAATACAATGTTGATGAATGATGTCCCAAGTACAATATCATAGTGCAGGTCTGCCTGTCCTTATTACAGTGGCAGGCATATGTCTGTCTGATGGAACAAAGACATGGTGTCCGTTCATCTGTCCTTCATACAATATGTCCTTGATCTGCATATTAGTACAATGGCATGATCCACCTGTTGGTACACAGATATCACTGTGCTGTTCTGCCTACCCTCAGTACAATGGCACAAGGTTGGTCCACCTGTCACAAGTACAATGGCATGCGGTCATTCCACCACCCTTAAAATGCCTCTTCTCTGCTGTATACCAAACTGGTTGGCACAGCTTCTCAGCACCTCTGGGGACGGCTGACCCCTCCAAGAGGCTACAGGTCTTGTTCTTTGCTGTGCTGGCAAGGAAAATGAGCATTCAACTTTTCCAAGGCGTCTTCCAAGTACTCTCACAGCAAATACAAAAGAAACTGGAGGGGCAGGGAGAGGGCACGGTCATCCTGTGCTAGTTGGCACACTAGAGAGGAGGCAGTGACACTTCCTGGGTGCTTTGCTAAGTACGTGGGGGCTGGAGCCCCATTGAGGAGCAACCACGGAACAGTGCTCCGCCCGCCATCTTCCATGGTTTCTCTTTGTTTGCATCACCATTTAAATACAACACCATCAGCACAAACGTGAAAATTCAGGGAAAAAAAAAAATGCTTTTTGATAAAAGTAAATAGTTGTGATTTCCAATTCAGATATTTTTAGAGCTGATGCTGTCTGTAAAAATTAATAATAATTATAGTAATATAGTCTATTTTAACATATCAGGAAAGTGAACATGTTTAAATATAGCCATATATAGCGAGAAGGAACTTACCACCCCTTCTTCAAATCAAGGCATTTCATTTGTTGGTTGAAGCAGATGAGAAGTGTACAGATTGGAAATTATTTCTGTCTTTCTTTTCTTTCTTTCTTTTCTTTTCTTTTGTTTTTTTTTTTTTAACTACTAACCAACTGGTGCAACTCTCCTTGTAACCAAAGGCCCTTTCTGCCTTGTGTGGTCTTGTAGGACCTGGCCCTTCCTTCCTCATGTACTTTGTCTAACCTTATAGTAGCATTTTCTTGAGTCACTTTTGAAGGATGAATTCAGAAGTATCACTAAGAACCTACCTTTTCAGGCTTAATAGCCAGAGTCCTATAGAGTTCTTATAGAAACAGAATAATTGAAACTCAGCATATACTATGCTTAGAAAGCATTTTGATTTTGTTCATGTTTTCTTTTTTTTTCTTTTTACTTGTATGTGTATGTGTTGTGAGAATATAGCTTTTACCCTGTGCCCGTTTCAAAATAGAGTATTTTAAATCTTCCCAGCCCCACTCCCACCCGCCAAAATGGAACATACCCAGATTTTTGATCTGTGTACGTCTAACCTGTGCATATGTACACGTGTGTATGAGCACTGGGGAATCTACCTAAAAGTCTCCACTGAGAAGCAAAACTTGACAGCCAAGATGGGTCTTGACAGAGAAGAGGAAAGGAATGGATTGGAGCCATGCACTGCTTCACTTGGTGGTCCATTTCCAGAACCTATATCTGAACCAACGAACACAGGAAAAAAAGAAAAAAGTCAACCCAAAGAAATGAAACGGGTTGAGAGGGGGACAGATGCCTGGTCCCTTTGGCAAATTCAACGAAACTCACCAAGAACCTAGCTGAACTTGAGTTCCAAATCCCACCATTATCAGAAAGGGCTAGTGACCAGGTAACTAGTGCCCAAACCCCACGGCTCAGTCTGTGACCAGCAGAGAGAGGTGGGCACACTTTGCAGGAGACGGTTGACTCACCTTTTTATCTTTGGGTCAAGGAGAACAACAGGCCTTTGGTGCAGTAGATTTCTCAGTGCCTTCTTTAGGAATTCTTATCTTAAGCACACTTAATGGGGAAAGAAACAAAGAGAGGAAGAAGAGACAAGAGCATTTGTTCCCAGCAGGCCCCTTCCTCCAAAGGATTGGGCATCAAGAAGGAAGAAGAAGGGAAACAGCGAAATCCTATGAGGCCCTTTCCTTCCAACCCACCCAGCTGGCCCCTGAGAATTGCTGGTGACGCTAATTCTTTCCAACTGATTCCCAACTTCTCCTCCACCTGGTCCACCAGGTAGCCTCATCTCTGCCCTGTTTCCTACTAAGATCCACGTTTCTAAGGAGAAGAACACAGCAGCATTCTCTTCTGTAAAACTGTAATGTATTGTTGATATTTGTAACTACTGTATATTTCTGTCTCACTCCAGTCGTGGCTGGAGTGTCTAGTTCATGAACAAGGGGAAATGTCAGATTCATCCCCGACAAGGATCACTCTAGGCAGGTCTGTCGCTCTAGCACTCTCCTTCCTTTATTTCTCTGCCAACAAGTCTCAAGTAACCTAATCCCCAGCTTCGCAGCCACAAGTCAAATAACTTTGGATCAAATGAGAGCGTGGTAGAAAACCTCTGGGACAAGTTTCTTTGGGGAAGGCTGCAAAATTGGCAGGAGGGGGAAGGGGGCTCCCTGTGTCCCCCAGCAGGACAATGGAAGACCTCCAGCCCTGAGCTGAGTTTTCCTCACACACCACTGTTCCCACAACAGCATCCAAACACTTCTCCTCAATCAGGAAGACTCTGACTGGCCCTGGCTATGCCCAGAAATTGGAGTTACATCTGCATTTTCTGTTGCCATTTTTCTGACTCTGGAAGTACAATGTACAACTATGTCCCAGGATGTCCATGCACCTCAGAGTAGTCTATTTTTCTGTTCAGATTATATATATATATATATATATA